CGTTAGAACTAAAGAGTTGTATATGAACTGTCGTATATAGTTCGTTTCAGAAGTAACATAGCCGCGACCCAGTAGGTATAAGTACTGTCTTTGTAGTAGTAATGAGCAAGTACTCTTTTCCCCTCGAATCTGCCCTCCCCTATAGTGCTAAGTTGCACTATATTCGTCTATCCACTGCAATAGTTGCAGTATTGTCGTCTGCTTTATCTTCCCTTACATTCTCTGGAGCTCACTAGTGGAGCCCATCCTAATTTAGTCTTTGACCTTCCTATTTAGGTCATCCTCTCCACATCCTCTTCGCCTCTGGTGCACAGCCATTCTACACAACACATCCCTCACCCGAACAAATCAGGCGATCTCCCGAGTCTCTCACAGACCCCGGAAACCTGAGTCTATTGTGTGTCTTTACACATTTATAGCACGACATCGCGCCAAGTATCTCAATAGTATCTTGCACCACGATGCTCTCCCCACTGCGAAACTGCAGCCATGCTGCGCATGCAACAACACATCCAAGCTCGGAATCTACAAGTGCAGGGATTGCTATGGGGAGCAGCTCCTGTGTGCTGAATGTATGGTTCATGAACATGAACAGATGCCATTACACTTGATCCAGGTGTGTTGTTTGATTAATGTTCCTTATCTAGCTGAGGCACTAATGAGGATATACAGGTTTTGCAGGAGGACCATTTCTGGGGGTCCTCATTACAATCTCTGGGGCTTGTTGTACAACTCGGCCATCGTTGCGGAGAGTTTCCTGATCGTCACAACGAGGGCTGTGACCGCACAGACTTTGTTGAGGACTTCTTTGTTTTCGATGCTGATGGATATTATTACATCAACATCCAGTTCTGCGCATGCGGCTTCCGCGCTCATCGCGAGCAGCTCCTGGAATCTGGGTGGTATCCCGCCTCTGTGGAACGGCCGAGGACGGCGTTCACATTTTGTTTTCTTGACACCTTCCATCAGCTAACTCTGCAGGGCAAGATAACGTTGCATGACTTCTACTCGAGTGTCGTCCAGTGGACCAATAACACGGGAATTTTTCCTCCCATTGTGCGTGATCGGAACTCAGACTAAACACTCTTCTAATCGCCATCTCTGCAGTTTCAATATCACGAGGCAGCTCTTGCTACCCGCCAGTGGAGTCATTTGATGATGCTGAAGCGAGGAGGTCGTGGGCACGATCCCGCTGAAATCGAAAAAACACCGAAGGGTTCGTTGACTCTGCGATGCCCGGTGTGTCTGATTCCTGGAGTCAACATACCTGCCGATTGGCAGTCGGCACCCGAGGGAGAGCGGTGAGTCATAGCAATTACCATCTCGTTCTGATCTCTCAACAAATCCCAATGAAGTTGGAAATATAGCTTCTTCATCGGCTTGGATGCTTGTTTCAAGCTGAAGCAGAAAAATCGTGATATAGCTGACCCGGAGCTTGGGTCAGGCTTTATGTATTTCGCCAAGGAAGATGAATATCAAGATCACTTGAAGAATACTGTGGACGTGCCGGAGGTACGCATTTTCGCGCCTCCTACTCTTGTTGCAGAATTTCAAATATTTGGACATAGCCTAATGTCGTATCGTGCGACTCTAATGTCGTATCATGCAACTCTAATTTCAACGTGGTCAGTGAGATGAACTCGAAGAATAGTACCAAGAAGTACACTGTGTCTGGGGTTGCAGCTGCCAAATGTGCTCACCATGCACTAGTCCTACCAAATGGGGCAGCCGACCTTCAGAAAGGAGAGAAGTACGCAACAAACCTTTCCATTGCTATTATACTGACATCAATCGCAGATATGTCTCCATGGACTTCGTCTTCTGGATGTCCATACTCACGATGGGGGCCATGTCCCTGGTTGTCGTGTCGTATGACATCGCCTGCAAATGGTCGGTCCACCTGTGGGACTGTTTTGCGACTCTCGCTCCGCAGTTCGCATGCCTTCTGGTGACAGCCTTACGATTTTTTGTGCCTAATCTACACGTCGGCGTACACGGCGCGAAATGTCGCCATGTTTTCGGATTCAACGTTAATCGATGGGTTGGCCGCACTCACGGAGAGACTCTGGAACAGGAATGGGCCCACATCGGCGCCATGGCAACAAGTACTCGAGAAATGGGACCGGGCGTGCGACATGGTATCTTGGATGACCATTGGCATTTCTGGAACTTCCAAAAGATTGTCGGCATGGGTATGTCTCTGCCTTGCTCTACGCGTAAAGAACTGATGCAAGAAGAAGGGTGTCTAACGAGTCGAGGAGTGAATGCGGTTGTTGTAGGCAAACTCGGCGATGGGGAGCCACTCTTCCCAGTCGTCCTGGAGGTGATTGACGTACAACCGAAGGAACTGTTCGATCTCCTGGTTAACGCACTTGGTCTGGACGTCGGATTGAGGGTGGTAAGCCATGGAAGTGGCTACGGAGATCCCGAGCATTCCGCTCAACTCGCGCATGAGGTGCGACACGAATTGCGGGCCGCGGTCACTGATCGTGACCTCTGGAAGTCCGTGGTGCTTCCAGACCTGGTCTTGGAAGAGCCAAGCAACTCCCAGGGAAGTCACCTCTGATGTGGTGGAGGCGAAATGGGCGCGTTTACCCTTGTGGTCGACGGCAACGAAGATCATGTCCTTCCCATTTGAGACCGGAAGCTCCATGATGAGGTCGACTGTGACAACTTGCCATCGTCGCTCAGGCACAGCATTTGGGAGTAGGCAGCCTGCGGGAGCTCTGGGGAACGTCTTGGTGCAGTTGCACACGTCTGTCAAGATCGAGACGGAGCTAAGTCCGACGCCGGAGGTGTGACGTCTGGACCTAGCGAGATGGTTGTCGGAGTCGAGTCGGAAGAGAGTCGGAGAAAGTCGGAGCAGAGTTTCGAGATACAGAGAGTGAGTGCGAGTACGGACCAGACTCAAGCTTTAAGGCTTGAGTCGCTACGCGCTCTAAGTCTGTGTCGGAGCAGAGGAGTAACTTAGTCGATATTCGAACTAAGGAGTTAGAGTACAGGAGCTAGGAGTTTATATACGCGGAGGCACGGTTCGGAGCTCGTATCGATAGGGAGTTATCGGAACTATGAACCATGTGGAATAAGGAGTTATCGGAACTATGAACCATGTGGAACTGTCAATCGTAAGGACGGATCATATGGTTACGAGCTGATAATCGGAGGTAGAATAAGTCCGAAGGGAATATCAAACCGTTAAAGGCATAT